TTTGGGCCAGTGTACTTGGGCCAATCCCGGGGCATCATGCCAGATGCGGCCCGAGTCTGGCAACCGTATCTGGGCCAAGTTAGTTCATCTGATTTGCTGGATCTGGGCCATCATCGGGCCGCACTATTTTGGCTACCTGGGTTCAGCTTTATTTTGAAAATCTTGCCCCATTCCAATGAATGGGAAAATTCTACTTCAGCAAACTTTCATACTACTATTCAGAACTTTTCTAAACTTCATACATTTAAAATATTTAGCTTTATTTTGAAAATCTTGCCCTATTCAAATGAATGGGAAAATTCTACTTCAGCAAACTTTCATACTACTATTCAGAACTTTTCTAAACTTCATACATTTAAAATATTTAGCTTTATTTTGAAAATCTTGCCCTATTCAAATGAATGGGAAAATTCTACTTTAGCATACTTTCAGCTAGCAAAACCATTCAGATGTCAAAATGTTCAGCATTTTCAGGGTGATCTTTTAGCAGTCAGCATCCATACGCATTTTCTTCAGAAAATGCAATTTTCTAGTTAAATACTAACATCATACTGCTTTGTATGGATCGTTTCAATGTCTACTGACCTGGAAAACACAATGTGACATCAGAACAGAACTCTCACGGTGTGCTGGCATTCGCATCCAGACTGCATCTGGGGGCGGAGACGGAAGGTCCCTCCCAAAACCATTCTGGGTGCAACACCATGCGCACAAAGATTCTGCTTTACCCTTTTCTGTTCTCCAACCACCAAATCCAGGACAGCAGGCACAAAACATCATAATGTTCTAAAAGTATAAATGTGGCACCAAAATAAAATGTACATTCAATTGCCAATTATGAAATAATAAATTCACTGAAAACAATGTGGTGACATATTTTTAGGTGCACCACAAAAGTCTTGTCCAAAACCAATTTTTTCCACTCCAGTAACAGCACACGAAGGGCAGGACCTCCCTGGTATCGATGATTCTCCTTCCACTCAGCTTCAGAAAGTATGGACACCTCGCGAGGCTAACAAGAAAACATCTATTACGCAGGTTGTAAATCGTCCAGGCAGCACGGACAGTACACAACTGGTTCTCCTAACTTCGTCTGTCACCCCCAGAAAAGAAAATTTTCTTCAGAGCATGTGTTACCCCCCTTGCAGGTATGATTTACGTACCTATCACAAACTGTCGTAAAAATTATAATTCCCCGCACAGCACAGTACCACACATACAGCTGGGTTACACATGCACTGAAAAAGCGGACCTCTTTCAGTGCTATAGTCTACATGGCTTCCTTTCCCACACAAGGAAATAAAATTCATTGATTTGTTCTTCCTAATATGAAGTCAAATTATAACATACTAGGCTATTCTACATTTTCCTCTGTAATTACAGGGCCTAATACAAAGCAGTGGTTGTTATCCCTTTATTCCCCAAACATTGCACATTATTCCCTTGCGCCTACAAACAGCACTACTGTATATGTGTACCATTATTTAAAAAAACTATGCTCCAAATTCAGTTGAATTAAGAAGGATTTTAGTCGGAGACTGTTGCAGCATTCAGGCCTGTCCATTAATATAGTACAGAGTCTGGTATAAAGGAGGCCTATATGATGTTAATTCTTTTTGTTTCGTTTTACTGTCAATCGTGACCACTGAAAACCTCTTTAGTTAGGTTTACTGGAAACCTTGTTCTACTGAGGGCAGCGCTACGTCATTGCCTCGTCTAGCCTGCCAAACCGAAGAAGAAGAAGAAGAAGAAGAAGAAGAAGAAGTGCTACTTCTCTTGTGGTGATTCTTATTCCTTCCAGGTTTGCGCTAGCTCATATCTTAAGATGTCTACAATCAATTTTCTGAGAGCGTTCGTCAATCAGCGACTGACTGTGGTTGTTGAGGAGATAATAGGAATGTTTTCAAAGACAATAACCGAGTACGAGGAGGAGATCGACCGCCAGCGCAGGCTGCTGGGAGCCGAGCAGGTGCCCGGCATCAAGATAACGTTGACCACCCAAACAGGTTTGTCTTATTCAAGTAATCGGTCAGGCTTTTATTTGATAAGGTCTCACATTTAAACTAGCTCTTTGGTCTGCAATGATACGTTAATTGTCGTTTCAGTTGCTATTTAACGTTACTGCTGGCTGCCAGAAGCACATACTGCCGCCTCCATCAGTGTTTTGCTAACGTTAGCTTGTAAAACGCTGGCAACCACATCACACAAGGCGTAAAATGCTTAGAGATAGTCAGGAAATGCTAACGGGAATGTTTAAAAACTGTCGATAGTTATCGTACATTGGAATGAAACCCGGACTTCTTTTGCCTTTTTCCAAATAATGTTTCGGAGGTGTAGTAGTAGTCGTTTGCCTTCGTATAGATAGTTTGTTGTAGTAAGTTATCAAAAGTTGAGACACCTGTAGGAATTGTTTGCATCTGTCTTAAAGGCTTCACTGCTGCAGAGAAGATGTGAATTAACCGGTTATTGGAAAAACTCGGTAAAAAGGCTTGGTTTACATGAAATTTCCACTTAAAGTTTTTGGTGACTGTTAATTCTCTGGCAGTTTACTTCTTAGCATTTAAAGTTATTCAGTGTGACATTAAAATCTGTCACATGAATGTAGCCTAGAGTTTCAGATATGTAAAATTTATTTTATTCTCCATAGGTTTCTGCAACCCACCTCTTCATTTGTAAAGATAATGTGTCTACTCTTCTAGTCTAAAGGTTTTAAAGTACAGTTCAGTAATCAGGAAATGTACAATACAGTTCCTATAAAAAGTAATCACCCCCTTGGATGTTTTACCCTTTTATTGATTTTAGAAATCAGTCATGGTCAATATAATTTAGCTTTTTTGACAAAACAAAAATTACAAAAGACCTCTTTAATGTCAAAGTGAAAACAAGTTTCTACAAAGTAATGTTAATTAAAAATCCAGAATAGATTTTAAAGTCCTTCTTCTAACATACATAGCCCTTAATGATGAGGTTCCATCATATCTTAAAGACCATAGCATCCCAACAGAGCACCTCATGCTTCATGCTCGCTCTCATGTATTCAGATCAGGCAATGAGATGGAGTACAAAGCTGTGAAGTACAGACGGAGGAAAGCCATCACAGCAGCCAAGAGGCAGTACAGAGAGAAGCTGAATGGCTTCCATTCTACTGCTGACTCCAGACGGATGTGGCAAGGCCTGCAGCACATCACAGACTACAGGACCACCACCAGCATCGTCAGCCCCACAGAAGACAGCCTGCCGGATGACCTCAACACTCTCTACACCTGCTTTGAGACCTCCAGCTACAGCACAGAGAGGAAGCACGCACACACCAGGACCACCCAACCCCCCTCCTCTCCTCCACTAACTGTCTCACCAGGCCAGGTATGCAGAGTCCTGAGGAAGATTGACCTACTGGCCCAACAGGGCCATCTCAGACGCCATCACGGCTGCCCTCCACTATTCCCTTTTTCACCTGGAAAATGGAGACTGTTACATCAGGATACTCTTCATTTACTACATCTCCACCTTCAACACAGTTATCCCCCACAAACTGTCCACACTGGGTCTGCACCCCACCCTCTGTGACTGGCTGCTGTACTTTCTGACTGGCAGGCCCCAGATTGTCAGGATTGGAAATAGGACTTCAGGCAGCATTATCATGAACATTAGCACCCCACAGGGATGTGTCCTCAGTCCCATACTCTACACCCTGTTCACCCACAACTGTGTCGCCTCCCACAAAGACAACATCATCCTAAAGTTTGCTGATGACACCGCAGTGATGGGTCACATCACTGGCAGGGACGAAGCAGCCTACAGGAGGGAGGTGGCTGGTCTGGTGTCATGGTGCAAAGACAATAATCTCAGCCTCAACACGGACAAGACGAAGGAGATGATTGTGGACATGAGGAAGGAGAGGAGAAGTCATTGGCCACTGTTCATCCGGAGGCTCGAAGTGGAGAGGGTGAGCAGCTTCAAGTACCTGGGCATCCACATCAGTGAGGACCTCACTTGGACACTTAACACCACACAGCTGGTCAAGAAGGCCCAATGGCAGCTGTACTTCCTGAGGAGGCTGAGGAGGTTTGGCATGCTGCTTAGGATCCTCAGCAAGTTCTACAGCTGCATCAATGTCTGGTATGGCAGCACTACTGCTATGGACCGCAAGCACCTGCGGAGAAGATCACCAGGACTCCACTGCCCTCTCTGCAGAGCATTTACCACCGCAGGGTGCGTAGGAAAGCTGCCTCCATTCTCAAAGACCCCACCCACCCCCAGCATGGATTGTTCATACCCCTACCCTCTGGTCGGAGGCTCAGGAGTGTGAAATGCAGGACCTGCAGACTGAAAAACTTATTTTTCCGACTGCCATCAGACTCCTAAACGGCTATTTCAGGATCTACCTCATGTAATTCCATCTGTACTGTTTACATACTCAGTTTGCACATGCATAATTGCACACTCACTGCTGAATATTTGTGCTTCACGGCTCCTACGTAGCATATTTTTTCTCTGCATTATATTTAGGGCTGTAGCGATTAATCGACTTAATCGATTATGATAAGTAGTCGATTTGCATATTAATTGTCGACTTGTCATATGTAGGAAACAAAAAAAAAATTGTAAGAAAAATTTCAGTTTCACACTCCAGAGCAGATGGTAGCGGTAATGCGCCAAAGGCTGGATCCCAACCGCCCTTTAAAAGGACGCAGAAGAAGATAAGTAGGCAGTAACGCGAGCATGGATACACATAGTACTAGCAGCATGGTGTGTCTGGGGAACGCGAAAATACCGCGACTGCGGTCATCAAAGGTTTGCCAGTATTTTAAGCAGATACCAAACAACATGGTGCTCTGCCAGCTCTGCAAAGCAGAAATGGCGTGTCACAACAGCACCATGCACGAGCATTTGAAAAGGAAACATCCCGGGGCAGTTTCTCGGGACAACAGCGGAAGCAAGACGGCACCGTAAGTTCTGTTTACTTTTCATATTGTTCCTACCAAATGTAACAGTATTAGCTTTATACGGTACAAAGAATGTGTTCTCGTCGGTAATTCTTTTTCTTTTGTTAAACGTTTCTTCCGCCTGCAGCACTGCTGCTGTTAAACTACTGTTGGGAGGGCAAGAGTGAATATGCGGGAATACAATGTTTATACAAACGCAGATATAAATGAAATAGTCCACAGTAACATCACAATTTGTTAAATCTCTTACACATATACACATTTTCTAATTATGCCACTTTTTATCCCGTTGTCTGTTTCAGGACCCCGC